TATTCATAGACAATTTTGCCATCATTTTTTAGAAACAGATCAAGAAAAGATCGTTACTTACAGTGATACTGTAGTAAGTGAAATGCAACTAAGATGATTTGATTCCAATATTTATAAAAGAGAGCTTGATAACTCCATTTATATCCCTCCTTACTTAATACCAGTTTGAGGCAGTATGGAATGTCTAATGTGATTCATTCAGAAATTCCATCAGCTGTTCATTACCCTAGACTAATACTCCCCAATTTCCTTGAAATTGACACTTGTTTTGGCTAGTATAGATGCAGCCATACATCTAAGCTAGGCATGATACTATTCAGCTTTTACAGATAATTGGAAAAGCTGGAAATGCTGTGTTTAGAATTTGGAAAACAACCTAGTGCAATTTTTTGTATCTTATTTATTTATCACACAAAAAAAAACTACATTTTATACCAATTAAGCCAAGATAGTGCATGTACACTAATATTTATTCATTCAGTTTGTATAGTTGCATATATCCCTGTCTAACAACATTTTACTGACTTATTCTTCTGTCTTTAATTGTGTAAGAATATACAACTGAATGTCGGTTCTTGCTGTGCTGTACCAGCCACATGGGTCACATACACAGTATGGGACTCGTGTCTGATACATGCATTATGAACCACATCATACAGTCAGATTAATAATAAAAGTTTATATTTCTGCCATCATTTCTTAGACACAACTCGGCCAAGAAAAGTTTGTTACGTATAATGATACAATAATGCTACAAAGTAATAAGGTTAAAAGTATAATTAACTCTTTCTTAAATATAATATCTGGAATAAAACATCAAATATTTTAAGATTTTTACCATTATAGTTAATCCCCATACCTGAAATCTCCTTGTCATTGAGAGACTGTACTAATTTAATAATCATAATGTTCCAATCATTTTCATGTGACTAATACATTACAAGTTAATTTCAAATTTTGTGCTTCATTGTCGCTCCCTAAAAACTTGATTTGAAGATATACCATTTTTTATGGTTTACCAGGGTAGTTTGAAGGCCACACATTGTTTGATTAATCTGATCTGACAAAAATATGACTGGATGAAGAAATGTGACTGTGATCTAGATCATGTATGGTGTAATGTAGCCACTCATTTAAAGTTTCGTTATCAAATAATCAGGGCATCCGATGTTGTATTTTGAGCATGTTGTGGTAAAAAGTAAAGTAGGAGGCAAAAACAGACTGTAAATTTTGTCAGCTGCCTGCTTTTAATGACAACGCTGATTTGAACAAATTTGTTTCATAAGCTCAATTTGTTTGATCAACATAGTCGCACCATGTGAACTGGTCTACAACAAGACCTCTCATCTTAGTAAACAGATTGCGCATTCTGGTAACATCTTCATACCAAATTATATAATGATAATAACATTCATCCCATGAAATATTGTGCATGTATATTAAGCTATGCATTCATTCAACATATCAAAAACTCCCCTTCCCTTATTTCACAAATAATTTACGATTAACTAACCTCACAATGTTTGACTGAGATTGAAATTTATCTCATAAACATTTTTGAATTATATTTCTGCAATCATTTCTTAGATGCAACTGAGCCAAGAAAAGTTAGTGACATATAATGACACCCTAGTAAGTGCTAAGAAACTAAACAAACGATTAATTATTTACACTATAAGGTAGACAAATAATTAATTACTAATGTATTCTGTCCATGTACACAGATGATGGTATTCAAAGTTATAATTGTGTCATATTTATTCAATGCTGATCATTGATTCTCCTACCCTTGACCCTCCATCTCTTTCTCATTTTTACTGTTCAGAATTTTTTTTTATAAATTATCATTGTTAACCCTTTGAAAGCCACTTTTCACAAAATAAACTTGCCAAATAGACATTAGGCCAGACTTATTTTATTCCTTGTTTCGCGAGATTTTATAAAGCAATTTTTTTGAGGAGGGCGAAAAAAAATAAAATTAATTCTTTTTTTCCATTAGATTTGTGTGATTCTCAAAGAATTGTAAGTGTGAGATCATTGATCGAGAGAAGAAATGAATTAAAATTTTATTCCATGTATAACCTTGTTTCTCATCTGCGCGAGACTTCTGTACTTTGATCATGATACTCACACGAAAATGCAACTTGGATTTGTTATGCGGCGGGCGGTAAAAAATGAAGATAAAAATAAATAATATTTTTTTAGCATTTTTTTGCGCTTACAAGTTGGCGGGCGCGAGAAATTACGCTGAAATAAAATTATATTTTTATTTCATTTTCGGCTCCTGTTCATTCGGCGGGTTCGCGAAACAAGGGATAAGTAAAAGTCTGGCCTTAGGTAAATTAAGTTTGGTCCCAAATTAACAAAACATATATAAAAAATGCATAAAATTGTTGCACCAAAATGTTAGCTACAAAGATGATGACGTTCAATGGGTTAATTACTATGATTTACATATATTTTCAATCATACTATAGTTGTTACTCATACAAGTTGTGTAATTTTAAATATTGTGTTGTACAATTGTATCATAAGTTTGAACCAATGTAGCTTACCATTGCAGCATATTTTTAAAACATTTGCTTCAAGAAGTTTTAATTTCAATATTCTTTTGGGCATGTTCAGGTTTGAAATTCACTACTAGTAACTTGGTTGTGAATCGTTGAGATGTTCTTTCATTTTCATATGTGGTTTAGTTTAGCATACTGGAAACTAAGTGGTAATTAATGTATATTTAGTTGAATCGAGAAGAAAATGTGATCGAAAGGTGTTTGACATGCACTTATCCTGTTCTGCTCATTCACTTAGTCATACTAATTAAAACATGCATGTCCAAATAATACAAATTAACTTGTTCCTATGCTATATAATGCAATCCATCAAATATGTTCACCGCTCCTCCCTTTCTGTAACAGAAACAAAATAAACAAATTTTACTAACTTGGGTATGTATCTTATGCACAGTGTGTGATGGCTAACACAAGTGGGCTTGTGAAAAAAATGCTTGATATGGATGTCTTTTTAACATTTCTTTGTGACTTTTTCTTGCCTGGAAGTCTGGAGATATATTCAAACCTGTTTATGTGGAAAACTGGTTGTATGTTTAAGGTTTTTAATAAACTGCATGTATAGTGAATGCTAACAATTGTACCATTCCCATTTTTTATTCCCAGTTTTTGCAAGCAGCTATGAAGGTAACGGCCCTCAGCATGTTGGCTGATGTTGTATTAACTCTTTTTCTTTTGTGGTGGGATTGTGATTTTTTGATTTCACTTCTTTTGGAGTGTGTTTTTTTTTTACCAAGTACTATTAGTTTAAAACATTTATTAAATGTATTATTACCACACTTGTTACTGAAAGAACACATCATACACATATCATATCATGCAACAGTGTTGGTAAAAGCTGTTCTGTCATGACTAAACTAAACTGTTTCTGTGCCACCAGTAAAATGATAAGAAGCCTAACTTGCATGTCATAAGCTGAGAAAAGTAGTATAAACGCTTTGTACTGAACTTGTAAAACTTTCAATGAATTGTTTTTATGTTTAGTTATAAGCGCTTATAATTCTTCCCTCCCTGGCTCTTTCCGTGTTAAGAAAATTAGGGAATGGAAAATCTAATATAAAAAAGGACACTCCCATCAGGCAGTTTTACCAGGTGACTTGTACCTAGAGCGCTATACAACCATCCCAAGTCCGACCTGAATTCTTATTTTACAGTAGCAATATGAATTAAAAACTATTAATGTATTTACAGATATTATCACATTATTTTCAATTTATGAGAGAATCACTCATCTAATGTGAATATGTTCATGACAATTCAGCTTTCCAACATTTAATTTAGGTCATTTTATATTCATTTTAGTAGCAGCACTTGTCAAGTCCCAAATAATTTAGATAAAACGTTTATTTTCAGTACTAGCACTATCAAACTCATTTTCAACTGAAGAGAGCATTTTATGTTGTCAACTTTGAGTTATACAAATTTGATAGCCAATTCTCTTGAAATTTGCACTCAGGGAGCTTAGATTTTTGTTTTGTGTGTGTCGCATATTTGATAGTCTGAGTATGTTTGTATAGTTGAAAATAATTCTGTTTTCAACCCAAATTATTGATAGTTATAAACTTTTCACAGAAGAGATGACAGAGTACACTGGTAGTTAGTTATTATACATGCAGCAGTATATGTTGTAGATTACCTCAGAGTGTGACTTTTAAGATGACATTTGCTATTTACAATATAAATATTAATAATTAAGTAATTGATACCTTCTTTCTTGTCTAAAATTGTTTTATATTAATAATATTGTTTACAAACCCACATAAAAATGGTTACCAAACTACTTTTCGCACAAAAATATCTCAAATATGCATTTAAGCCATTTACTTTTGACTCAAAATATTGTGACATTATTGGACAAGTCTTATGAATCCCATTTATTTTTTATGAAAAAAAATACTTTAAAACGAATTTTTCATTTTTGCAGTCAGTTTTTCGGTTAAATAACCCAATATCAGACACATGCTCATTATCACGTAACGCACGTGAAACGAAACGAAACGAAACAAAATATATGTCTCACAGATGACTTTATTTGGTACCAATGGTAACTAATTGAGAGAAATTTACCATCCCCCAATGCAATTTTGCAAATTCTGGAAAACATGGGTTAAATATTAACTCAAAGTTCACTAGAAAATCAGTAATCAAATTTGCATAACTCAAACATTTATTCTTTTTAAACTGCTCAGAAAAACCTGAACATGTACGACTTCATTAAACATACCGGTACCTGAAAATGCATCAGTATTGAGTTTACTGTTTTCCAAGTGCTATAATTCTAGATTTCTACAATTATTTTTTCATAATCATCTTCTACAATACCTGTATTCACATATTCAAATGTAGATTATTTTATTTCTCCCAATTTGTGGCTTTTAACATTGCATCGTGTTTAAAATGAATACTGTGCAACATAAACAGCACCTGTAAAAATATTGTTTTCTTTAATTCACAAAATAACTCGCATGTGACTGCACTTAGTCATAATAAACAGAAAGCGTCAAAATACATTATGATCATTTTCGTAGAGACATAATAACGACTGAAATAAAGTAATCTACATTAGTATAAATGAACATGTATTACTTACACATGTAATTGTATTTTCTTTTCACACTATACTATCCACATATTTCCATTGCCATTCCATGAGTTACCTTGCTGTCGATTCCTTATCTTAGCATTTCCTCTAATGCTCTGACATATCTTCCATTCTCATTCAGACATTTTTCAATCTTACTTGAATCTATCGGGAGAAAACATCAAATATATTAAAAAATCAGGTGAAAACACATTTAACACAAGCTAAATTACGACTGATACTGAGTGCTACGAGACTGCAACATTTATAAAACGTGAAATTGACTAAACAAAGCACCAGTATTTATATAAATAGCTCCATCTGATTGGTTGAATGTAAACGTATGAAGTATAACCGTTGGCTTGTTGAATATTATGTGAAGATACTCTAATGCAAAACTGTGTTTGTATCTGTACTGTGTAACAGTATTATATAAAAAAAATTAAATGCAAAAATGTGTGTTTGCATGAAATTAGCTAGGATAAGATCAAATGTTTTGTGTGCGCGCCTGTATGGGTGTACAAGTCCATACAATCATAGACTGTTTGGTCTATTTATATTGCAATTTAACTCATGTAATGGCATACTTTTATGTTTCACTGCACCAATGTTTTCTTGTCATGTATTCACAACTAAAAGTACATTGTTTATACCTCAAACTACAGCAGGAAGACGGTGATGCCTCACCCAATGCCCTCCTTGTAAGTTCCCAATGCTGGCACTTTCCCAATTTCCAGGGTGTTTCTTTCCATGGAACCCTTCTAGATTTAAATGAATAACAATTAGAAATCAGGAATATGATATGAATTCCTATTCTGCCCTAGTCCTAGCATGTGCTTGCTCTTAGTTGTATAATCCTTTTTTCTAAAGTCACCGCATAGTTAATGTTGCATTCCTTGCTATCCATGGTCCCATGTATGTGTATGTGTACACAATTCCGTTGACAATTGTGTATATGTATGTAAGATACATATGTTTATATTATACTGTGATGTAATTTATTCAAATACCCCATTGTGACTGATCAGAATAACACATGCTCTATGCATCATAATTATGTGAAAGTAAATAAACAAAACAAAAAACTATTTGCAGTATGATATATAAATAGCAATAAACCATCTGTCATTTAGATTCGATTCGATAACAATATTCCATATTCCAG